GGCAAGACCCTTTGCGCCCAGTCTTCTCAGTCCTCCTTGGTTAAAACATTAAATTCAATAAGCATACTATGTTAATGGTTATTAATTATTAGACTGTAAGCTCCTTGAGAGCAGGGGTTTTTTTTTTTTACTTTTGTTGTATCCCCATTCCCAGTGCATAGCATAGCATCTGATATAAAGTAGGTGCTTAATAAAGGTTTCTTGTTTGTCTGACTGTTAAAGTATTGTACCATCTGTGAGTTTACATTCCATTGGAGTGACACAATATATAAACAGATAAGTAAATATATGCCCAGTGTGTGGTATCGATAATAAATGTTCTTTAAGGAGGAATTCATAGGGGAGCACCATGGAATATGAGCTGATCTCAGAATCAGGGAGACATGGCTTCAATCTCCTTTTGACAAATTCTGGCTATATGACCCTGGGCACACAAGGGTCTAAACTTCTCAGTGCCCCCCCCCAAAACAACTCTCTAAAACCACAAAGTTACTGTTTGTTTGTTTTGTTTTCTGAAACTGGTTCTCCCTATCTCTCTCAGGCTGGGAATGCAGGGGTGCCCCCGACACCATCCCACTCCTGGTTGTCATGGAAGTTTTGACCTACTCTGTTTCTAGTTTACCCCTTCTGAGGCAGCTGGTAGGTTCACCATATTGGTGCTGGATTAGTGTGGACACTGGATTGGGTTTAGTTCTATTGCAGCTCAGAACTCCAAGATTCAAGTGACCTATCAGCCTTAACCTCCCCAGCAGCAATGGACTACAGGCGTGCTCCATCACATCCAGCTCTAAGACTGTAAATGGTGAGCAGCTACTGATCTGCATTGGGAAAGAGAATTCTTTTATCAATGGTTTCCCATACCAATAAAATCACAGGTCAGGACCAAGGAAGAGTTTAGGGTGAGAGGGAAAGATAATTTCCTCTTGGCAGGAAAGACTTCATAGAAGTGGCTTTGGAGCTGGACCTCAAAGGATAAGGAAGGATTAATGTTTTATTGAATGAATGAATGACATCCCTCCCCTTCTTTTCCATACTAAAAATCTTGAATTCTTTGGAAATAATCTATTTATGGCATAGTCTCCAATAGCCACCCTAGTAGGCCTTCTCTGGACACATTCCAACTTACCAATGTCTATCCTAAAATGTCAATCACAGAGTCCTAGATACTTGTAGGCTGGCTTACTACTGTTTGGTCATAGCCCTGCTTGGAGGTTTCTTATATTAATTACTCAACCATTTGCTGAAACACACAGTTTTATGTGCTTTCAGCCCTGATGGACAAGTTTAGACACTATTCAGCACAGCCTTGAGGACTGGAGCTTCTGGTGATCGGGGATGTCTTTCCTGTTGATACTGGAGGCAGGATGAGGGATAGGATAGAAGCAAAATTGTACAACCAGGTTGGAACAGCTCCAATCAAGCAAATGGGGCAAAGCCACAAGGTGACAGGTCAGCAAGCAAAATTTCACAGGATTATAGGTTCGGAACCAGAAGCAATGGATGTGCTGAAGCTGATTGTTAAATATCAGTGTTAGCATTTACACCATAGCAATCAGCAAACTACAAATCAGGGACTGAGTTATTGTTAATTGTCTAGATTTAAGAAAGTGATAGATAAAATGTTTATAATGCAAAATAAACTTAAAAATGTGTCAAGGGTACTTTTTTCTGGATAGCCAGTTGTTATTTACCAGCACACCCTTGACTAGTAGAAACTTTATTTATTTATTTGCTTGTTTGTTTTTTAGTGAGGCATTTGGGATTAAATGACTTGCCCAGAGTCACAACAGCTAGTGAGAGTTATGTGTCTGAGGCTGGATTTGAACTCAGGTCCTCCTGACTCTAGCTGTCCCAGCAGAAACTTTAGATGGTTATTTAGTCTAACCTGCTGATTTTACAGGTGAGCAAACTTAGGCCCAGACATCCTCAAGATCACCTAGACCTTGTGATGGAATCCTAATAAAGCTGACCCCAGCCCCAATATTCTAACTTCCTTATGGGCCTCGCTGAAGAGGCATGCCCTGATTTAACCACACAATCTAGCTTTAACGACATCACAGGCCCCAGACTCAATCACAGGCCCCACTGAACAGCAAGCCCACTGTCCCTACCCAGCCTCTACCTAGGCACCCCCCCCAAATAAATAGCCTAACTTCCTAGTAAAGAACTGACCTAGAGTAAACTTATGGTGTAGAGAGGCTTATTATAATATCATTATCATACATACAAGTCCCCCCAGTGGGTTTTTCTGTATGCATTGTGGATGATCACATGCACCATTCCACCAAGGCTGGGACATCCCCCCCATTACCACCCCTTAACAAATCCCTCCTGCCTTTTTAATATTCATAATTTCTGTTGTGTAGTCAGCATCATTACACTATAAAATTGCCTGTCTTGTCTAATCAAGTTGCTGGTTCCTCTTGGAACTCAGCCTGTTGGAGGCACCATTCCAATAATCTAATTATTGGATTAGATTATTAGATTGAATCTCAATTCATTCAAGGCAACCCCCAAAACAAACCATGAAACCACCACAACACTTGAATAACACAGTGATAGAACTAGAATATGAGCTCAAGTCCTAAGATAAGGTTTAGCACTCTTCCCCTCCCCCCCCCCCCCCCCCCCCCCCCCCCCCCCGCACACCCGGCCTTCTCTAAGAACTCAGACCAATATTAATGAGACACACCCTCACCTTTCCACCCACCCCAACACACACACAGAAACACAAACTCTGAGAATGTATAAAAAATACAAGCTATCTCATAGACTTTCCAATCACCCTTTGCAATAGGCCCACCATTTTAACAGAAGATCTAATCCCTGAAGCCTTTTGGGAGTCTGAGGATGGTTTTCCAGTCATTTGAGTACGAAGCTGAGAGACCACTGGCCCTGGAATCAAGAGAACCCTGCATCTGAATTCTGGAAGCCACCTACTAGCTGTGTGTCCTGGTCAAATAATTTTACTCTTCCGAATCTCAGTTTCCTCATTTGGATTTGGGGCAGGGGTGAGGGAGGGAACTTCCACTACCAATCTCACAAGGTAATTGGGCGAAATGGGCTTTCTAAATTCTAAGACTCCAAATGAGTTAGTTTTTTTTGTTTGTGCTGTTTTGTTTTTTTAATTGATGAACACCTGCTCATTCTTCAATGCCTTAAAGATTTCTTATTCCCATCTCACATTCTCCATGTAGGTCCTATATGTCCCTGTGCAAAGAGAACTTCCAGAGAACAGACTGCCAACTGCTAGGATCTTACTGGCCATTGATTCCTATCAATTCCAATTTAATTCAATCATCCATGGGAGATCTGCCCAAAATAGTCCCAAGAAATTTCTTGCAAAACAATGCTACTTCTTATTGAAAACATTTGTTTTAGCCCAGCCAAGGACCTGGCTCTGTCTCCTAGTTTTCCAATCTATTCATCACATAAACAGGGCATTGACTGATTGCTGGGAAATGATGCTTCAAGAAACCATTTCAAAGAGAACTGCCACCACATTTTCAAAAGAAAAGGCTCTGGACCACCTCCTAATTATTTATCATGAGCGCACTGCTTTTGGGGGAAAGAATGTTAAAGGCATTGCATATCATTCTCCAAGACCAGTAAATATCCCAGATCTTTTCATGGTTGATGACTCCCAAACTCAAATTCCTTTCAACATCCACAATATCCTCCACATCTAATTCATTCTCTCTACTTACACAGCTACCCCTCTTCATTCAGGTCCTTATCACTTCTCACCCAGATTATGACAATGGCTTCCTAAGTGATCTCTCTGACTCAAGTATCTCCCCAGTCCAATTTATCCTTCACCCAGCTTGTAAAGTTATTTTTTAAGTGCACATTGGAGCTTATCACTTCTCCATTCCACAAACTCCTGTGGTTCCCTATTTCCTCTAGGACATAATGTTTAACTCTGTTTAACTTATAAAACCTTTCACAATCTGGCCCCAACCTGCCTTTCCAACTCTGTTACCTGTTATTCTCCCTCCTAGACTCTGTGATCCAGACAAAATGACCTTCTCTCTCTTCGTAACATGAGGAACTCCATCTCCTGCCTCTGAATCTTTACATTGGCTGTCCCCCATGCCTGGAATGCACTCTCTCCTCACCTCTGCCTCATAGAATCCCTCTCTTCCTTCCTGATGCAGGTCAAACACTACCCTCTATGTGAAGCTTTCCTGATATCCCAGTTATTAATGCCCTCCCACCCTAACTACCCTGTATTTAATTAACTCATATTTATTTGTATTTATTCTTCGGGACATATTCATATATATACTTGTCTCCCCAGATAGACAGAGGGATGGTTTCATTTTTTGTTGTAGCACAAAGCCTGACACATAGTAGGTGCTTAGTAAATGAGTATTATTGCATCATTCCTCCTCAACCTGCTCTTTGTCCTCCCTGAAACCTCCAGTTCTTCAATCCTTCTCTCTTCTTCCAGGCCATCACCACTGCTTGGACCTAACTTCTTTTCCTTCCACAGTCTTGATCCTATTCTGAGCTCTCTCAATAAAGTTATTCTTCTCTAATTTTAAGCTCTTTTGTCCTTCCGCTGCTCTTCCCCTGCTAATTCCAATCCTCAATCACCATAACCATACAGTCTCTCCAATTCCAGTTTCAAACTGCTGGATGCTGCTGGAAGGATTCATGAAACTGTGATTACTGTGTACCCTACAAACTAATGCTACCTATTCTTGACTGGGCCCTCACTGAGATACAGCCATCCTTTTCTTTATCTCTCATTTACTCCTTTTCAAAGTGACTCTTCAAAATCTCTGCTCTCCTTAACACCTCAACTTCATTCCTACCCAATCTTCTCTCAACAGATGACATTACCTTCTACTTGACCGTAAAGATTGAAGCCATCCTTGTGAGCTCCATAAACTCCCATCTTCTACATTGCAAAACATTTCTATGTTCTCAACCAAAATCTTTTCCTTCGCTCTGATCTCAGGAGACTGACTAACCTTGTTAAAGTTAAGCCCTCTGTGCTTGCTTGGGCAGTACATATACTAAAATTAGAACAAATCAGAGATGAGCATGGCCCCTGAGCAAGGATAACACGCAAATTCGTGAAGAGTTTCATATTTTCCAAAATCTTGTAATATGTAACTGGGGACTATTCAAATTTTTAAAAAAGTTAAGCCCTCCACTTGTGCCACTTGGTCCCAACCTCTCTCAGGTCCAAAGAATCCATTACTTAGTGACCAACCTGCTAGAGAACAGCAGACTTATCCTGTCACTAGGACTATATAAAAAAACTTAAATGGATGAAAAATAAAAATGTCCATTATCCAGACTATTTATTCCATGCAGTTGGCTAGTCAATCTGTTGAGTTAGTACATATATTTTAGGCAGGCACTATAGATGGACAATGAGTTAAGCTCTGAACTGAATAGGAAGAAGAGAGTGGGTTGGATTATATTTGGGAAACTACACAGTACTTTTAATGATTCCAAGCTGCTCCTTGGCACAAAAGCCTATATTTTTAACACAATCTCCTTGAGATGCTCTATGGTTGTGAATCTTGAAACACCACAATTTCTGAAGACTAAAGGTCTTCAGTGACCCAATGCACAATGTAGAGATGTACACTAGGGACAGTTAGATTGTAGTACCTCCTCAATGATTAAGCTACATTAAAGAATGGACATAAAGTATATAATTGAGGAAATATGGATTGAGAAATGGGGTGAGATGATCATGTGGCAAGACGGTGAGAAGGGGAATAATAGAATCCTCCTTTATGCAATCCCTACATAGTATACTTTGTATAGAAGTATCACACATGATGCTATAGTATTTTGAAAACCTTAAAACACTATATAAATATGAACTATTATTATTATTATGATGATGATGATGATAGGCACTACCTCCTTTCTGTTTTTGCTACATACGAGTGTAATCCAGGTTTCCAGCTAAGTCTCAGGCATTTTGTTTGTTGTTGCTTAGACAACTCAGGACTGTTGGAGAGAATGCTGACACCATGTGCCTCGTGAGGGATGGAGTTGGTGGGATAGCAAGACATTCTTTTTATTCTTTCTTTGAGAGGACACACATGGTCCCAGACTCTTTTGGGAACCAATTCCAGATACATGAAGAGATGGAGACAGACTTTGGAAGTTACAAACATGTAGAAGCTGGCTATGTTGAAGAGTCATGTCTATTATTTCCAACTTGCTTCCCCAGAGACTTTGGAGAATTTCCCCCCTTTAGTGAGATTGAGGCTTCTCTCTTGGTTAAGCTGAGAACTTCTTCAATTCTCACGTAAAGAATTCATTCACACTGTGCATTTTCTGGTATAGTCTAACTTACATAACCTCTCCAATTTCTGTTTGTTGTTTTGCTTGGATCAATATTTTTCCTCGCTATTTGGTATAATTGCTGTTTAGGGTGTGTACCTAAGAACTGTACCTATGCGCTGATTTGATTTGCCAAGTCTACAAATTTTTCCTCAAAAGAGATTGCTGAAAGGCAATGATTTTCTTATGGGTGAGCAGGGCAAAAATCACCAGCCCTTGCAGAATTCTTTATTCAAGCCAAGCCTTACAATTTACGTGAGACGTGGCGGACATTATGCATCTGCTCTCCATAACTTCTCCCAGTTTCTTTCTAGTTTTGCCCGGCAAAGCCCCTGCAAATAATTTACTATACCACTGAAAATGGGAATTTAAAGGAATTTTCTGACTATATCTCAGATAAGACCGAGAGACTTACATGACAACAGAGTACACAAAATGTTAAAAGGACAGACTTGAACATTTCTAAGCCTTTCATTTTGCTAGCTAGATGGGTGGGCCTGACCGATTTTATATCCCAAATGAAGAATAATAGTCCCTACACTCTATGCCAAAGAGCTGCCAAACCCTGGTGGTAGGGAAGAAACTGCGCTGTAAGAGATGACTACCTGAAGACAACAGAGGGCATTGAAGAGAAATCCAAGACAGAGCAATGTGGCGAAGAAACAAGAACAGCAAAAACAAGAACAACTTCATAGGAACAGCACCTCATTTGATGACATTGCTAGATGACATTGGTAGTCTTGTAAATATTGGAAGCATAGAATGTCCCAGACATATGTGTCCATATGTGTGTTCCCCTTCACAAATTTAGACTCTGTCTACTTCCAGCTCCAAATACATACCTTCATGATCTTATATGTTTCCTATTGGCCTAAATGTAGCACTAGTATCCACTAAATGGAAAAAAAAAAAGACCCAGAAGAAAGTCTTCAGAATGTGGGTCTTTGTTCTGAAGAAAGTCTTCAGAATGTTGGGTCAATCTTCTTTGAAAGATTTGGTGCACTGGAAAAAATGCTGAGTTTGGCATCTGATGACCTGAGTTTGAATCCTTGCTTTGCCATTTACTACCCATGTATTCTCGGGCAAATTGCTTAACCTTTCTAGGCCTTCATCTTTCAATGAAGGAGCCAGGCCAGCTGACCTCTAAGCAACCTTCTATCTCTAAGTCTATGATTTTACAGTTCTATGAAATAACACAGACAAGTATCACACAGGTTAAGAAGGCATGAGAGTTTGTGATCTACACCAATGGAGGGAATAGTCATATCAAAGAGATAACAAATCTGTTGAAGTATGATGCCCTACTAAGACCTAGGGGTGACTTTGGATTCTTGAAAGCATTGCCAGCAAAGTACAAGCCCTGGCAAGTCTTACAGGTTTGGAACACCTGGATCCAGGTACAGCCCTGGTAATGTCATCTAAGAACCAATCTTGTTAAGTCTAGGGAGGCTCATGACCAGCTTGGATATAGGATGATAAATTTTTCAGACATGGAAGCTCATAAAGGCCATTTAGAAGCTGTGATCTGTTGAGCGAAGAGAGCCCACATTGGTAATATATCACAGGTCCTTGAATTATTGCTGTTGTTCAATCTCATTCCCTGAATACTTTTTTAAGAAGAGGAGACAGACTAGTCTCTCCCTGAAGGAAAAGTACAATCCTGAGAGACAGAGGGTATAAACAATGTCTTTGATGAGTTGCTTCTGGTCTTACAACTTTCATCTACAAAGTGCTGTGAGAATCTATAACAAATAGTTCTGGATTATCTGTGCATTTGGGGATAAGAGATAGTTGGTGGAATACAAAGTAATGCAAAAATCTTTTCTCTTTGGCTTTGAATTGCATAATCAGTTATCCACATCCATGGAATATCACAAACATATACATTCGCAAGTACAGTCATAGAATGACCATTTCTATGCCTTTCCATTATTCCTTTCTACCCTGACCTTTTGTACATTGCCTAAAACCCAACTGGTTTCTAGATCAATAATCCAATCATAGAAGATTGAGTGTCAGATCTATTATGTTGAATCAGAAAACAATTTGCCTAAAATCTTAGAATCTCAGGGGACCTGAGAAATCATGTAACCCAACCCATTCTTAAATCAGAATCCTCTTTACAAAATTCCCATCAGGTTGTTATTCCAGGCTGTGAATTGCCCGCAGTAATGAAGCAGCTCATTCTAGTTTTAGAATAGTGAGGTAAAAATGCAAAACTCATTGACATTCATGAGCTTTGGACTGGGAGTCAGGAGACCCAGGTTCTAGTGCCAGCCCTAGAGCCAACACTCACTTTGGGTCAATCTTTCATTTTCCCCTTCTAAGCCTCAATCTCCTTATCTCTAAAACGATTTCTAAGTTCCCTAACCGTTCTAACATTCTGTGATTTCATTCACTCTAAGTCGCTGAAACCTCTTCACATTTGTGGAGGCAAGGATGCTTTTACCTCGTGAATCCCAAAGTGAGCATAGGAATCAAAGTAGTAATCCCTTGAGGTCATCTCCTCCGGGTTCAGCAGTTTAGACATCTTTCCTCGTCCAGGGCAGCTGGGCTGGGTGGATACATGATGGACACACTGTGCAGGTTTGGGGGCCACAACAGGCTGAGGAGGTTGGGAGGGGGCACTGCTGACCTGGAAGCAAAGGGCCTGGTGTTAAACAGAAGCAAAAGATGAGGTTGAAGAAAAAAAAGGCCAACCCTCAAGTTCTTCCTTCCCCCTGTTCCCCAGCCCCTTTCCCTGAGCTCTTTCTCCTAGTCCTTGTTCTATATCCCCAGCCATTATTTTCCAAAAGCGTATAAGAGACATTCTCAATGGAGGGCATGTTTTAAAAGCCTACAACACCCCCCTCCTCTTCCCAAAACCTTGATCATTTAAATTTTCTCTCTCACCTCACTCAAGCTACTGTAATCCCACTTTTCTTTTTTTTTCTTTAGTTTTTTTAGTTTTTAGGCAATTGGGGTTAAGTGACTTGCCCAGGGTCACACAGCTAGTAAGTGTCAAGTGTTTGGTCTGAGGCTGCATTTGAACTCAGGTCCTCCTGACTCCAGGGCCAGCGCTCTATCCACTGCACCACCTAGCTGCCCCTTGTAATCCCACCTTTCCCAGGGACCCAGGATGGACTGAACAGAGAAGAACTGATGTAGTCCTACCTAGATAATGGACCTCCTATAACTACTTTTCCTTCTCTACTCCTAACCATTCATCTTCATCCCTAAAAGGTAACTCTAACTAGCCTAGTGATGGCATAAATAGTTCGGTGTTTACCTAGTAATTCATATAATGTTTGCATTCAATTCAACTTTTGTTGATTGTTCACTATATGCAAGGGACTGAGCTAGATACTGGGAACAGAGATGAAAAATAAGACCTAATATGCCTTCAATGAACTTCCAGTCTGTTAGGAAGAATACATCATGACCACAAATAAGTATAATACAAAGTAGAGAGTGACAGGGACAAAGGATAGATCCATACAAAAAAAGCCAAGAAAATCTGTTTTGGCTTGTGAGTCCTTACAGATTGGAGGATATGTAGCATATTTGTGAATCCAGCATAACACTGTGTACAATTAGGAGCTTAATGAAGGCTTTTACGTAATGATGGTGATGAAAGTGAAGATGCAGGTGATAGTGATGCATAATGGGAATGGGGATGAGGATTGGGATATGGTAATGATGAAGGAGATGGTGATGGTGAATGAGTGATGGTGATATACCAAGGATGATGATCATGACCATGGAGATGATGATGGTTATAAGGATATGGTAATGCTGATAGTGACTGGGTAATGGTGATGTTGTGCTGGTGATGGTAGTCATGAGCATGGTGAAAGTAAGGGTGAGGGGGATGGCTTTTGTGATAAGGGTGATAAGATCCCTCTTCCTTATTTTATCTAGTTCTACTTTGCTGAAATTCAGAGGTGAGAAAATACCTAGATAAATGAGATTTTATTTGCACTTGAAGGGTATGTAAGTGACATGAAATGTCTGTGAAGTGATTGTTCTAGGTAACATCAGGGCATTTTATTTTACCATACACATTTTATTTATAATTTTGTACACTGAGTGAGACTGCTTTTCTATTTGAGTCATTTTCTAATCAAAGCAAAATATAGCCTAAGTAATACAAAGCTTTAAAATATAGCATAAGATACAAAAACAAACATACCGTATCTAGTTAGGAATATAATTATGATGTTATATTTTTAATTCAGAATTATGTTTAGAACATCATGCAAATAGATCACAGACTTGACTGAAATAAATAAATTTGTAACAAATTCCTAATATTACCAAAAAATTATCAAAGAATGCACAAAATTAATACTTATTCCACCTTTATATCATATTCCTAGATCCTTCACCAATGTTACATGAGTAAAAAATAAGTCAAACAAAAACCCAAAACAAAAAAATGAAATCAGAATCACTAATGTTATCAAGCAGAACAAACAAATAAATTAAATCTACAGCCATCAGCATAGGTTGGCCTATAGAGTTCCTGGATACAATGCCCATTGACTACCACTATGCTACTTTGTACACTTCCTCCCAATGTGAGATTCAGAAAATGAAGGCCCAAAAAGGTAAAAGTATAGAAGGTAAAAGGCAGAATCAAAGAAAAAGGGTCTGGGTCTCTACTCTAAAAAGATTCTCACAGCCCCACATTTCTAAATTTATCTTCTTTCTTTGCAAAGTGATCGTCTGAATAGTGCAGCATTGAAAGCACCAGTCTTGAAGTCTGATGATATATATTCAAATCCTGACCCTGATAATTCTTAGCTTTGTGACTCTGGGAAAGTCATATAACTTCCTTGTTGTTCAGTTGCTCATTGCAAAATGGAGATGATATTATTTGCATTGGGAGGCAACACGGTATAGCAGAAATAGCGATGGACTTAAAATGCAGAAATGTGACCATGGGCGATTCATATAGCCTCTTAGGGTTCTTCTGAAACTGAAAGTTACAAAAGAGTTGTCCACCTGCTTTGGTGAAAGGAGTTTCCATACCAAGATAATCATCAGAGAGAAAAAAATATATTAGTTTTAATAAATGACACGTATAGTTTTTCTCCTCTTTTAGAAACTGTCTTCCTTCAAGATGCTTTACAAGAAGCTAACTTCATAGCTATTGATATATTGCACACAGCAAAATTCAGATACATTGGTTCATGTATCCTAAATGGATAATATGTTCAGAAGAGTACAGTTTTTATTTAATGTTGGTCACAGACTTTAGCTGAAGCAAAGGCTGGGTCCTCTACAAAGAACTGAAACTTCAGTCTTGGCAATATAAGAGAAAAGTCTGGGTATCTACAGGCTGAATACCCTCTGGTGCCCAGTAGGCATTGGGCTGGTAACTCAAGTAAAGCTCTTTTTGGTGCTCCACTCAGGTATTACACCTCCTTGCTGGATAAATAAAACAATGACACTGACTTAAAGAAGGCTTACGAAAATATCACAGAAGGGACCGTAAGTTGTCAAATGGGGCCTGGTCTGGGATTGTTTATTTGCTTATTTTTGTTTTTGAAGATCTAAATTCCCTGCCCCAGTGTTGTAGGAATCAAATGTAGGGATATAATTTCTGTGAATTTTAAAACCTTTTCTTAAAGTTTCTGAGCCGATGGATATTTTCTTTCTAAATGAATTTTATTTTGTGTTGTTTTTACTTGGATTTCTTTCCATCAATTAGTCAACAAGTATTTATTAAGCACTTCCTATATGCTAAGAATTATGCTGGGTGCTAGTGATACAAATACAAAAAATGAAATAATCCTAAATACAAGGATCTCACATATAAGTGGGAGAGACAAGTACATATAAAAATATATACATCATAAGTATGAAGTGAATAAATACAAATATGCTTAAAGTAGTTAAATATAAAATAATGTGGGAGGGAGAGAAGTTGGGGAGTGGGGAGGGAATGTGTCAGCCAAGGCATCATGCAGAAGATAGGCTTGAGCTGACACTTAATAGAAAGCAGGGCCTCTCTGAGACAGAGGTAAGAAGGAGGTCCATTCCAGGCATATGGGGTGACCAATGTAAAGACAGAGAAAAAGGAGATGGAGTACCCTACATGAGGAACAAGGAAAAGACCAGTTTGGTTGGATTTCAGAGTGTGGGAAGTAAAGTAAGGGGAAGATAGGTTCAAGACAAGTTGTATAGAGAGCTTTAAAAGCTAAAAATAGTTCATATTTTATCCTAGAGGCAATAGAAAACCACTGGAGTATGATTTTGGAACATTTTCTTGTTTCTTCCCTGGAGTTACTTCTTCACGATCTAGATTATGATATTTTTTAAAATTTCATTTTCCCACATGGGATTTTTCTTTCTTGTAATTGACCCACTGTATTTCCCAGGATCCCAAAGGCATTGTGCTTGTGAATATTATTGATTATGAATGCATTATGCCTGTTACCTACAGTAAAATTGCACTGTGGGCCATCAACACTACTTGGAGTTATGTATTATTGACAACATCTTTGCTTATTTGCATGTGACAATGAATTCGTTCTTATTGCTCATCTATGCTATTGTCTATGCATGCTATTTTTTTGGTACATGCTGTTAAGTTATTGTCATTCAAACTCAAATATCCATTTGACTACTTGGTTCTTTGCTTTTGCATTATTGATTTGCTGAATAACATTTTAAGTGAAATCTGAACAAAATGGAGACCAAAATTTTGGGAAAGTGATATGAAGCAATGGATATAGAACTGCAGAGGTCTTTTATAACTAACGATAAATCCTGAGTATAAAATTAAGGATATTATAAAAACACCAAGAACAGCTATGAATGACTTACACAGATGCACAGAGATCAAGAACCAGTTCTAACTGGGAACATCTCAACCTGTTTTTGTGTGAATTACCAGACAAGTGATCACTCAGAAATTCCTGACATCAGAAGATGGTACCTAAAAACTGATCACTTGATTCCAATCTGAAAGAGAAGCAGTGATTTTAAAAGCTGTGTTTTTTTTTTAAATGGACAGAAAAGTTCTGCCTGTGGACAAGCTGAAAAGCATAATTAAAATGGCAAGAGAAGCTTCTCTCACAGATAGTATTGGGTTTAGATCATCTATTTCAGAGGGAAATCAAGCCTCGAGTTTTTCTCAAGAAAAGACCCATGCTCTCCAGGGAAGAAATGCCAGTAAAAGTTATGCTACCAAATTACTTCATGACTGGCAAGCTCCTGAGTCAGGACAAATGGGTTGCCTTCTGGAAAGCATTAAAGGGCTTCCTTTTACATTTGGGCAGAGTCTAAAGACCACAAATCCTGGCATCATATGGCAGCAATGCCTGTAAAGATTACAAGGACATTGAGCACAGGAGGCATAGCATAGGATCAGACATCTAGAGTTGGAAGGAAATTTACAGGTAATCCAGTCTAAAACCCTTCATTTTACAGATGAAGAAACTGAAACTCAGGTGAGAGACTAAGTGACTTGCTCAAGGTTACATAGATGGTAAATGGCAAAGCCAGAATTTTAACTCAAGTTCAGTGCTCTTTCCCCTGTAATATGTAGGATTCCAGATTTTTTTCTTTTGGTCTATCGTATGTATCTGACTCTTCAAAACCCCATTTGGGGTTTTCTTGGCAAAGATACCGGAGTGGTTTGCCATT